CCCCCCCCCCCCCCCCCCCCCCGCAGAGGGTGGGGGGGGGTTGGGGGGAAAGAAAACCCTTAGCGTCGAAGGGGGGGAGGTTGGGAGCACAACACTGCTGTAAGGTTTTAATCCTAGCCAGAATGACAGTTTCTTCTTCTTCCCTTAAAGAAGTTGAAAGCAAGCTATTTAACTCAGTGAATACTATAGTTGTATTCTGAGCCTTTTTACCAGCTCAGCTAGTCATTTTCAGAAATTTCACATTCAGAAGCATAATGTAATATTGGTAAAAACTTTGGGTGGTTGGTGCTTTTGGGAAGCTTAACAATAGCAGTCATTCTGGATTAATGCGGGTTAAAGTACATGTTGAGTTTGAGCTATTTTAGAAAACAGTGGCTTATTTATATGGCTTTACGCCATAAATCTTTGGGTTGGGGCTTAAAAATATCCTGTGTGTTTATATGCCATCCTTGGAGATGTTTTTGGAGAACAGATAATTGTTCAAAGTGAAAAGAAATTGGTGAATAGTTAAAACTCAAGAAAGAAAGCTTCATGCTGCCCTTCTGTTGCCCCCTTTTTATTAAGCTGCTTCTTGCCTTTAAGGCTCTAATCCAAGCATGGCATGTGGATCTCGCCAGGGCTGTTAGGCTCATACCGGTTCTTGTTTTCTGCTTTGGATTCTGCTTTGGATTCTGCTTTGGATTCCCTGCCAGCTGGCTGAAATGTCAGAGGAGTGCTTGCTAGGGGCAGGACCTTCTTGGCTGCAGCACAGCTTTGTGGAAAACTCCCTTCCAGGAGGCCCCGGTTTGAATTCATTGCCAAGTAAAGGCTTACCATTTTAGAGAGTTTTATTTATTTATTAAATTTCTCACCCGCCCATCTCCCCCCGATGGGGGAACTCTGGGCAACTCACAACAAACATTAAAAACATAAATATATATAAATACATAACTGTTTCATGTATTTATTTTCATTTTTATTTTGATGTGCATGTGCATTTTATTTATTTCAACATCTCTCCCACCTTTCTACTCAAGTGGGGATTCAAGGAAGCTAACGATTTTCTTTAAAGTTAAAAATTAATGTGTATCAAAATTAATGCTAAAATTGGTCAATAATGAATGAAAGGCTGGATTAAAGAGATGCATCTTTACAGATTTTCTAAATGAGAGAGCGTGGAGGTCAAAGAGTTCATTCCTTAGCATCTAGGCGAAAGCCCTCTCAGCCGTGCCTGAGCTGTACACCTCTGGCAGTGGGCAGCATCTTTATGAGAGCCTTGCCTGGAGATTTGTACAGCATCGCAACAGAAGAGGCCGTTCCTTCAGTCCTAAACCATTGAGGGCCTTAAAGGCTCATGTTAGCACCTTAAATAAAGACATCTGAGCAACTGGCCATCCATGCAGATCTTTCCGCACAGGAATCCTGTGACCCCTGCCTCTTGCGCTGGTTCACAGACAATTACAGTCTCCTAGCACCACCTTCTGGGCACAGGCAAGCAGGAAGGGCCAGAAGCATTGCAAAGCAGTACTTTGAAAGCCTCCACCTGCCTAAATGATGCAGATGGCTTTAAAAGCCCCCGAGGGAGTCCAGTCATTCAGCAATGTAACTGAAGCAGCCTCAGTACCATATCTTGGCCAAAAACCCAGTTTAATTGACTTACATGCATCATCTAGATTAGTCTGGAACTCCAAGGCCACCACCTTCCTGGTCACTTTTGTGAGTTTGAAACTGGCCTATAATGACATGAAGCTCCCAAGTCAAGAGAAGACCTCTTCAGTAAACATCCTGTAACTACCTCTTGTACTTAGTGGGTGGCATGAAAATACATCTCCTCTACAAGGGAGCATTAATCACTTCCTTAACCATCAGGCTGGTCCTATTCTGGCTAATCTAATCATTGCAAGAATAGCAAATCCAGAAAACTACTGAACAATAAAATGAAGGAAAAAAATCAGAAGCAGGAGAGTGCCTGGCACCTGTTTGGCCTGGAATGACATCACAGTGAGAACCAGAGGAGCCTCTCTGAGTTCAGTGCCATAAACTGTCTGCTGAGAAGGCCCTTCTCCCACTACCAGCCAAGGGTCAGCATTTCCTGGACTTTCCTTTCAGATCTTCCTTTGGGGTACTGCATATGGGAGTCACGAAGGGACCAGGACATGGGCAACTCCACTGTCTCTTCTGAGTTACAGTTTTATGAATTAAAAGTTACAGTTTAAAGATTACAGCAGCTAGGTATTCCTTTTCAACTTGGCTTTTTGCTGCTCCTCCACTATGGTGCTGCTTTACTCGCACTAATGCTGTAGGTCTCACTTGTCTTTCCTTCCCTTGGCCCAGGATCTTCTCTGGCTTAGAACCTGAGAGGTGGTAGCATTACTAGCAGCTGCCCTTGCTGAGCCAGTCCGAAGAAGCCTGCAGCCAGTACAAACTGGGTGATTGGTGGGCATCGTGCCCAGCTAGCTCTCCCACCCCCAAACAGGAAGCCACAGAGCAGAACCCTGACTGAATTGAATAGGAGGAAGTCTCCAACCATCTACGCAAAGCAAATTGAGAACTGAGTGTGTGTGTGTGTGTGTGTGTGTGTGTGTGAGAGAGAGAGAGAGAGAGAGAGGCCGCCTAACCACAAGCGCTCTTAGAAGCAGCAGAGGCCATGACAGAGAAGTGCGCTAAGTTTTTGGTGAGGGATCATAGCCGGGAGCCAGCATTTCTGGTCAGAAGCCTGGTTGAGCATCGGATAGTTCCAGGTTGGGAAGGTGAGCTTTTTACGTTTCCACATCTGAGGCAAAAGTAGCTCCGAGTCGGCCTGGAGAGCTCTTGCAACCACTTGTCTGAGATTTGTCAAGCTTTAAGTGGTTAAATGGTTAAGTGAAATGCTGGAATTGTGCAAGAAGTGAGAGGATTTCCAAGGGTTAAGGGTA